AAACAACCACAAAGTTCGTTTCATGTTCGTGAATTCACTTCATGGTTCACATCTGTACATGTACACAGCCTATCATCGGGTGTGGTGCGCGGCGCACGGCAGCAGTTCATACTCGATAGCGTCTGTTTACGCTGCAAGTCCGGGTTCGGCTCCCGGCACCCGAATGCGTGGGTCATATCCGATTATTTTTATTTCCCTAGGGGAGCAGAAATATTGCCGACTCCCGCTTGCGCATCAGATGCATAAAAGGGTAATAGGTCGAGTACGTTTTCAGACCCGAGTTTCTCAGCAACAGCAACTTCAACTGATAAATAATTACAGTCTAATTCTTTCTCAGAATCTCAACTCAGCCCGGCCGGCGGGCCTCACATCTGTGCATGTACATGTACATACCACAGCACTACCCCTCCCCAGGCTAAGCCTACAATCGGGTGTGGTGCGCGGCGCACGGCAGCAATTCATTCGCGTATAGGCATAGATTTTCTAGCGTCTATGCTGCAACTCCGGGTTCGACTCACGGCACCCGAATCCAAGAGACGCTTCAGAATTTTTATCAGAAATTTTGCTGACTCCCGCTTTCGCAGTATGCTTTACTTCAGATTCATAGAACGGCAATAGGTCAAGTACGTGTTCAGACCTGAGTTTTCAGCAGCTGCAACCCGATCCGACCACAGTTGAACCAGCCTTCTCACCTCTCATGCCGCGTCGGCTTCATCTCACACCACATCCCACCTCAGGAGTATCAGGTGTGGTGGGGGGTGCACAGCAGTCCTCTCTTCGTTTAGACACGAGCGAGGGATTTACAGCTGCCCTCCGGGTTCGACTCCCGGCACCCAAATGTTGAAACGTGCAGATGACTTTTTGGTCCGTCGGCGGGATGGGAGCTGAGGTCTGGCAGACTTCGACTCAGCCCTCCTACTATTCAACGAGCAGCCAGTCAAGTTGAAATTCAATTTTGACCATCTAAGTTGAACCAAGTAATACCCACGCTGTCCCTTGCCGGGCTCGCGATCTGGCGCACTCCATCGCAATACCACATAGTCCAAGCGTCCAATATTTTTTATTTCCCTGGAAGGAACAGAACCATTCTTATTCCAGCTGCTGAATCCAACACCCAGAAATAGTTCATTCTCAGGTCTGAATCCAATTCAATTCAATTCGATCCAAGTTCAACCAATTGCAACTTTGCATCTTTCACGCAGCGTCAATTCGAATTCATCCCGCATTCCTCCTTCCAACCCAAAGTATGATTCATTGTCATGAATCGGGTGTGGTGCGCGGTGCACAGCAGCATTTCATATTGAGAATGGTTCGCAAGATGAAGCTGCGTCTCCGGGTTCGACTCCCGGTACCCGAATGTGGCAGTGACGAGGTCTTTTATTTTGATAGGCTGGCTTATGGAGGAGAATTTTGGGTTTAGCTATCCACGGCCCTTTTAGTGACATACGGATTCATCACAGGGGATTCAACCTCCCCCTCCTCCCCCCGCATACCATATGTGCTCTGGGTGGGCATCCACCCAACTCCTCTGATGATTCTTCCCACTCCGCAGTCTACTTTCTCCCTACCCTCTCACCGTAATCGGGTGTGGTGCACGGCGCACGGCAGCATTAATTAATCGGGCTTAGACAATGAATATGTTGCAGATCTGGGTTCGACTCCCGGCACCTGAATCGTCAAAGTTTTGTTGTTGTTTTGTCAGGAGTCGGCAAGTCCAAGGGCATCGCTGCAGTCCCTCCCAATACCACGATATCTTCGATGAACAACCAAACTGGTCTTGCATTGAGACTTCAATTTCGATCATCCAACTTGAATCAAATATGTAGTCCTCTTTCCTCAACCCAGCCCGGCCCGGCAGACTTCGCGTCTATACCACCGCACTTCACCACTGCGCAAACTAAGCCCATATTATAATTCAGGTGTGGTGTGCGGTGCACAGCAGTCTTCATTGTGCTTAGAGCAAAATGAGCAGATTATTCTTGCAAAAAGACCTCACCCTCAATTTCTCCCGCACGTTTTCGGGCTTCTCCGCGCGCACCCAGAAGTCGTCTGAATCACCGCTTTGTACGCCAATCCTCCAGTTATCCACGTACGCGGTCTCTACCGCCCTCAACGCGCGGATAAACGATAGTTAGGTTTTCCGCAAAGCTTAAGCGAATCGCGGTGTACCGGTTAAGGGCTCGATCCAGCGAAAACTGCTTTGAATCCGAGACCTGCCAGGTATGCTCGATGGCATGCTCGCAGAAGACGAGGACCAGTGTCCGGATGCGCGATGGTGACAATCTCAAAGATTTCAAGAGGCAAAGGTGGGGTGTCCATGGTGGTTTGGGGCTAGCACAGCATTTCCGAATTCTGTCGGTATTCGGCACGTCGACCGAGCCAAGACCGAGCTGTCGGCCGAACTTCCTCTTACCATCGTCTCAGACCGTCTCGAAGGGCAGTCAACCTTACCTTTTAATTTCTAGCGTGCTATTCTGCGACTCCCAGCGCGACCGCCCTCCCTGGCTGCAGGCTCCAAACCCACCGTCGTCTATGCCCTCGCTAACTTCTGGGACGGCCTGGAAGCATAACTTCCTTGGCTGTTTCTTTCCTTCTTTTTTTTTCTCGCCGGCGTCGGAGTAGTATACAGCCAATATTGCAATCCTCTTCAGTCACCCAGGCATCGCTCTCCCATAGAATCATCTTCCTTCCGGCAGAAGTTCGCCGATGCTGTCAAGATCATGATGCTGTGCGCGGTCTCGCCCGAGATGCTGTTGACAAGCTGTTGATCACTCTTTTGTCCTGCTCTCATGTCGCACACCCCAGGAATCTACCATCGTCCGCCTCATTCGCTGTCTGGTCGTCTCCTCCTGCTTACCATTCCCGCAGGTCTAGCGTTGGCGCTATCCTTCCTCTACATAATCTCCGGGTCAATAACCTCTGTCTTGTATGGATTCGGTGAGGCCCATTCCCGAACTGCCCTCATCCGCCAGAATTTCATCCCACCTCATAGGTATATTTGAAAGCTATATCACCGTCCTTGCGCTGCTCACTTTGGTGGTGCTTTGGCGACTGTAAACATCTCTGCTTTGGTGGCGTCAGTCTAGACCTGACCGTGAGAACGTGGATAGAGTCCCATACACCACACGGGTGGACGTCGCCAACCCTCTATCGCGTGCCGGGCGACATTTCGTTTTCGTTAGTTCTTTCATGATACTCTGGTTGCTCCCAGGTACCGCACCGCAATCCTTCGCGATCGTCTTGCGGTACTAAACCGTCCCAGCCATCCTATCCTTTGCCGCCATTCTGGAGCGCAAACCCTACCAAACAAACTGCAGTGGTAGCGGACTGCGTCCTTGACCGATTTATGAAGCTCCGATGCGTCCCAGGCGGGATGGATGTCATCCTCGCATTCGCTATCTTCGGTATTTGTGCGTACTTTTTTCGCACCCATCCTACACATATATGCTAATTGTGAACCATATAATCATATATCTGGTTTCAGTGGTCCGCGCCTCCTGGACCATATTCCATCGCGCCATCGCCATCCATGGCGAAGCCGACATGGCGCTCCCCGCCGACACCCCCCACCCGGCGAATCTTTACCCGCTGAGATTTTACCCTCCGGGCAGCGAGGTTCCGGTGTGGATGCTGGCCCATATGGCGGACGTGGAGCAGGATGCCGAAGCAGATGCGGAAGACGCAGTCGGGCTGGTGTGATTGGTTTGTCTCTTGTTCACTGGCGTTGCATATGATATATGATTCAGATGAGTCTCAATGTTTCATCACCTCCAGATTTTTAGTTTCTTCTGTAACCTGTCCGCGTCTCTCAGAATAGATCTCGCGCGACTCTACTCAACGACATGGATCCCAGCCAGCCTATGTTCACTTCGCTCGCGCATCTATGCATCTTCGACGACATCCGATTCGTTTTCCCCAGTTACCGCACAGACGCTGGTTCAAGTCGCGACCACGTTCTGGAAAGTCGCCATTCTCATTAGAAATTTTTGTCAATATGACGTTTTCGTTGCTGAGATCTAACGCAGCGTAAGCAAAATAATTCCAGTCTCTCTGGGGTAAAGGGCATCTACAGTGATGTTTCAAAATTCCCCCCCGCAAATATTTATTTGCTGAGCCATCTGAATGACTCTCTGCAGCCTGAACGTCATATTGAGGGACTTCCGAGGTTTGCCTCGAAGGATGGCGAAATTTATTCTATGCCCGCACCAGCAATTAATCGGGCATCCGTCCATCTGGCCCCTTCGGCTGGCGGGGCCGAACTTTACTTTTCCCTCGCGTGGCAAAAGTAACTTATTGACAGGTAACTTATGCGGTTCAGAACACCGTCCATAAGCATTACAATAGAGGCTGCCTTGTGACTCAGGACTCATTACTGGACATTATATTCATCCCACCCCTGTGTGCGCAAACTACGTGGGCTTGTGGTCCTAAGTTCAACCATGCACCACTACGTAGCGGATGTGTTACCATCGTGGATTGGTAGGTAAGCACAATGCAGAATCGGGGATTACACCCCTACGGGGCGCGCGCTACGGCGGCGCGCGTCTTCGGATGTCGAAAAAATTACACAACACTGAAATTTAGTCCGTTATTTTAATTCACCGTATACTTTGGGTTGTCGGCTCCTCCTGGAGTACATCCGCATTCGTACCCCCGAGTATCTGGTGCCGCGCCAGATAGTCGGCGAGGGCGAGGAGGAGCAGCCAGGGGAGGATGGCGAGGGAGAGGGAGGCGGCGGGGCGAGAGGCCGGGGGGGAGGAACGGGAGCGTCAGCGCGGGCATGTTGAATCTCGAATCAAAGGAATCGCGGGGAAGGGGGGAGACGGGTTCATGGGGGAGAGCAAGCAGGCTGGCTACTTAGCTCCGTGTCCATGCTGCATGCGGAACACGCGAGGTTTGCCACGACGCGCCGTGATAATATACGAAAATAAGCACAAAGTTCGTTTCATGTTCGTGAATTCACTTCATGCTTCACATCTGTACATGTACACAGCCTATCATCGGGTGTGGTGCACGGCGCACGGCAGCAATTCATGATCTATAAGGGACCGCATATGCTGCAACTCCGGGTTCGACTCCCGGCACCCGAATGTGTGGGAACTCTGGAGTCTGCATTTTTATTTCCCTGGGAGAGCAGAAATATTGCCGACTCCCGCTTTCGCAGTATGCTGTATTTCAGAGCCATAAAACGGTAATAGGTCAAGTACCGTTACGTTTTCAGACCCGAGTTTCTCAGCAACAGCAACTTCAACTAATAAATAATTACAGTCTAATTCTTTCTCAGAATCTCAACTCAGCCCGGCCGGCGGGGCATGTACATGTACATACTGCAGCACTCCACCCCTCCCCAACCTAAGCCTATAATCGGGTGTGGTGCGCGGCGCACGGCAGCATTTGGTACAGGGCACCGCAGTCGACGTAATGAAGATGCTGCAGATCCGGGTTCGACTCCCGGCACCTGAATTGGTGATTATCGCTTGAAAGTTTTTATCAATTTGAAATGTTGCTGACCCGCTTTTGTAGTATGCTGCACTTCTGATTCATGAAACGGTGATAGGTCAAGTACGTTTTCAGACCTGAGTTTTCTGAATCAGCAACTTCAACCCGATCCAACCGGTTGAGCCAACTTTGCATCTTTGCTTCAGCACTCAGCGTCGACATCATCTTGATACCCCTTCCCAACCAAAGGGCAAATCGGGTGTGGTGTGCAGTGCACAGCAGTCTTCGTTCAAGTGCGAGCGAGGGATTTACAGCTTTCAACTCGCGACACCTAAATGGACGCCTGAGACATGTATATGGCTTTTTGCAACTGGTCTGCTGGCGGGATGGGAGACGTCCAGACTTCGACTCAACCCTCCTGCTATTCAACGAGCAGTAATTTTGACTATCTAAGTTGAACCAAATAATACCCACCCTGTCCCTTGCCGCGATTTGGCGCACTCCATCCCAATACCACTCCACCTCAACGCTGCGCAGGCAATGAAAACAATCGGGTGTGGTGTGTGGTACACAGCAGTCCTCATTGTGTGTTTGGGACAAACGCAAGTAAATGCGCTGCAGATCCGGGTTCGACTCCCGGCACCCGAATAGACGGAGGTTTAGAAGTTTTTATTTCCCTGGAAGGAACAGAACCATTTTTATCCCAACTGCTGAATTCGAATTCAACACCCAGAAATAGTTCATTTTCGTGTTTAAATCCAATTCAATTCAAGTCGATCCAAGTTCAACCAATTTGCAATGTTGCATCTTTCATGCAGCGTCAATTCGAATTCATCCCGCACTCCTCCTTCCCAACCCAAAGTATGATTCATTGTCATGAATCGGGTGTGGTGCGCGGTGCACAGCAGCATTTCATATTGAGAATGATTCGCAAGATGAAGCTGCGCCTCCGGGTTCGACTCCCGGTACCCGAATATTATCGCAGTGACAAGGTCTTTTATTTTGATAGGCTAGCTCATGGAGGAGAATTTTGGGTTTACCTGTCCACGCCCTTTTAATGACATACGGATTCATCACAGGAATTAATTTGGGTTCAACCTCCCCCTCCTCCTCCTCCCCCCGTATACCATATGTGCTCTGGGTGGGCACACACCCAACTCCTCTGACGATTCTTCCCACTCCGCAGTCTACTTTCTCCCTACCTTTTTACCGTAATCGGGTGTGGTGCACGGCGCACGGCAGCATTAATTGATTGGGCTTACACAATGAATATGTTGCAGATCCGGGTTCGACTCCCGGCACCCGAATTGTCAAAGTTTTGTTGTTTTGTCAGGACTCGCGAAGTCCAAGGGCATCGCTGCAGTCCCTCCCAATACCACGATGTCTTCGATGAACAGCCAAACTGGTGTTGCATCGAGAATTCAATTTCAATCATCCAACTTGAATCAAATATATGGTCCTCTTTCCTCAACCCAGCCCGGCCCGGCAGACTTCGCGTCTACACTACCGCACTTAACCACTGCACAAGCTAAGCCCATAGTCAGGTGTGGTGTGCAGTACACAGCAGTCTTCATTGTGCTTAGAGTAAAATGAGCAGATTATTCTTGCAAAAAGACCCCGCCCTCAATTTCTCCCGCACGTTTTCGGGCAACGAACTTCTCCGCGCGCACCCAGAAGTCGCCTGAATCACCGCTTTGTACGCCAATCCTCCAGTTATCCACGTACGCGGTCTCTACCGCCCTCAACGCGCGGATAAACGATAGTTAGGTTTTCCGCAAAGCTTAAGCGAATCGCGGTGTACCGGTTAAGGGCTCGATCCAGCGAAAACTGCTTTGAATCCGAGACCTGCCAGGTATGCTCGATGGCATGCTCGCAGAAGACGAGGACCAGTGTCCGGATGCGCGATGGTGACAATCTCAAAGATTTCAAGAGGCAAAGGTGGGGTGTCCATGGTGGTTTGGGGCTAGCACAGCATTTCCGAATTCTGTCGGTATTCGGCACGTCGACCGAGCTGTCGGCCGAACTTCCTCTTACCATCATCTCAGACCCTCTCGAAGGGCAGTCGACCTTACCTTTTAATTTCTAGCGTGCTATTCTGCGACTCCCAGCGCGACCGCCCACCCTGGCTGCAGGCTGCAAACCCACCGTCGTCTATGCCCTCGCTAACTTCTGGGACGGTCTGGACGTAAGTATAACTTCCTTGGCTGTTTCTTTCCTTCTTTTTTTTCTCGCCGGCGTCTGAGTAGTATACAGCCAATATTACAATCCTTTTCAGGCACCCAGGCATCGCTCTCCCATAGAATCATCTTCCTTCCGGCAGAAGTTCGCCGATGCTGTCAAGATCATGATGCTGTGCGCGGTCTCGCCCGAGATGCTGTTGACAAGCTGTCGATCACTCTTTTGTCCTGCTCTCATGTCGCACACCCCAGGAATATACCATCGTCCGCCTCATTCACTGTCTGGTCGCTTCCTCCGCTTACTATTCCCGCAGGTCTAGCGTTGGCGCTATCCTTCCTCTACATAATTTCCGGGTCAATAAACCTCTGTCTTGTATGGATTCGGTGAGGCCCATTCCCGAACTGCCCTCATCCGCCAGAATGTCATCCCACCTCATAGGTACATTTGATAGCTACATCACCGTCCTCGCGCTACTCACTTTCGTGGTGCTTTGGCGACTGTAAACATCTCTGCTTTGGCGGCGTCAGTCTAGACCTGACCGTGAGAACGTGGATAGAGTCCCATACACCACACGGGTGGACGTCGCCAACCCTCTATCGCGTGCCGGGCGACATTTCGTTTTCGTTAGTTCTTTCATGATACTCTGGTTGCTCCCAGGTACCGCACCGCAATCCTTCGCGATCGTCTTGCGATACTAAACCGTTCCAGCCATCCTATCCTTTGCCGCCATTTTTGAGGGCGACCCTACCAAACAAACTCCAGTGGCAGCGGACTGCGTCCCTGACCGATTTATGAAGCTTCAATGCGTCCCAGCCGGGATGGACGTCATCCTCGCATTCGCTATCTTCGGTATTTGTGCGTACTTTTTTCGCACCCATCCTACACATATGCTAATTGTGAACCATATAATCATATATCTGGTTTCAGTGGTCCGCGCCTCCTGGACCATATTCCATCGCGCCATCGCCATCCACGGCGAAGCCAACATGGCGCTCCCCGCCGACACTCCCCACCCGGCGAATCTTTACCCGCTGAAATTTTACCCTCCGGGCAGCGAGGTTCCGGTGTGGATGCTGGCCCATATGGCGGACGTGGAGCAGGATGCGGACGCGGAAGGCGGACGCAGAAGGCGCGGTCGGGCTGGTGTGATTGGTTTGTGTCTCGTTCACTGGCGTTGCATATGATATATGATTCAGATGAGCCTCAATGTTTTATCGCCTCCAGATTTTTGGCTTCTTCTATAGCCTGTCCGCGTCTCTCAGAATAGATCTCGCGAGACTCTACTCAACGACATGGATCCCAGTCTAAGCCAGCCTATGTTCACTTCGCTCGCGCATCTATGCATCTTCAACGACATCCGATTCGTTTTCCCCAGTTACCGCACAGACGCTGGTTCAAGTCGTGACCAAATTCTGGTAATCGCCATTCTCATTAGAAATTTTTGTCAATATGACGTTTTCGTTGCTGAGATCTAACGCAGCGTAAGCAAAATAATTCCAGTCTCTCTGGGGTAAAGGGCATCTACAGTGATGTTTCAAAATTCCCCCCCGCAAATATTTATTTGCTGAGCCATCTGAATGACTCTCTGCAGCCTGAACGTCATATCGAGGGACTTCCGAGGTTTGCCTCGAAAGATGGCGAAATTTATTCTATGCCCGCACCAGTAATTAATCGGGCATCCGTCCCTCTGGCCCCTTCGGCTTGGCGGGGCCGAACTTTACTTTTCCCTCGCGTGGCAAAAGAAACTTATTGACAGGTAACTTATGCGGTTCAGAACACCGTCCATAAGCGTTACAATAGAGGCTGCCTTGTGACTCAGGACTCATTACTGGACATTATATTCATCCCACCCCTGTGTGCGCAAACTACGTGGGTTTGTGGTCCTAAGTTCAACCATGCACCACTATGTAGCGGATGTGTTACCATCGTGGGATTGGTAGGTAAGCACAATGCAGAATCGGGGATTACACCCCTACGGGGCGCGCGCTACGGCGGCGCGCGTCTTCGGATGTCGAAAAAATTACACAACACTGAAATTTAGTCCGTTATTTTAATTCACCGTATACTTTGGGTTGTCGGCTCCTCCTGGAGTACATCCGCATTCGTACCCCCCGAGTATCTGGTGCCGCGCCAGATAGTCGGCGAGGGCGAGGAGGAGCAGCCAGGGGAGGATGGCGAGGGAGAGGGAGGCGGCGGGCGAGAGGCCGGGGGGGAGGAACGGGAGCGTCAGCGCGGGCATGTTGAATCTCGAATCAAAGGAATCGCGGGGAAGGGGGAGACGGGTTCATGGGGGAGAGCAAGCAGGCTGGCTACTTAGCTCCGTGTCCATGCTGCATGCGGAACACGCGAGGTTGCCACGACGCGCCGTGAGAATATACGAAAACAAGCACAAAGTTCGTTTTCATGTTCAACCGAGTAAGTCACTTCATGCTTCACATCTGTACATAACACAGCACTCCACCCCTCCCCAACC